AATGTACAAGTAAGTCACACTCACGACTAACACACAGAGGTAGGCAGAGACAGTACACTTACAGGGACCTCAGCGGTCTCTTCACATCCACTGATGTCTTAGAAAATGTACAAGTAAGTCACACTCACCACTAACACACAGAGGTAGGCAGAGACAGTACACTTACAGGGACCTCAGCGGTCTCTTCACATCCACTGATGTCTTAGAAAATGTACAAGTAAGTCACACTCACGACTAACACACAGAGGTGGTAGGCAGAGACAGTACACTTACAGGGACCTCAGCGGTCTCTTCACATCCACTGATGTCTTAGAAAATGTACAAGTAAGTCACACTCACGACTAACACACAGAGGTAGGCAGAGACAGTACACTTACGTTAAGTATGTTCAAATTAACCAAAAAATAAGTCAAATTTAAATATAAATTCAGTTTGATACTTTCACGCGTTCTTGAGAAAAAGGTCTTTGACAGATAGACATACAGACGGACGGACAACAAATAGATCCTATAAGGAGTCCGGTTTTTCTTCTTTTGAGGTACGGAATCATAATAGTATATACAAAAAAATCGTATTGGGGAAATAGATACTAGTATAAATTGAATATGACAAAATGTTTCTCTAACCGTTGGTTTCTGACACCAAAATCTCTGTAAAATATATCCGTTATCCAACGAATTCAAGATTTAAAAAGAATAAAAGAAATAAACCAAGATTTTACTGTTAGAAACCCACAGTAAAAGGCTCCATGAACGACTGAATTCAAAAGTTACGGTGGGCTTTTGGAACCCATTTAAAACAAATATTTATCTGTTTTGTCAAAAATAAGGATATGTTTGTCTTAGAAAGCTACTGTAAATATAATGAATTATGTTTCAGGTGAAAGGCGAGTTCTCAGGTAAAGTGAAGGCGGGCAAGAACGTGAAGGCGGAGGGGTTCAAGCCGGGCGCGGTGTACGAGCTGAATGATGATGATGAGTTGCTGTACGGTGGTGATCAGACACCAGCATCAATGGCCAGTGTAAGTATCTGCTTAGAAGCCATCTATAAGTACAGACGTATATAAGATACTGTTAGGAAGAATCCGACACTGTGCCGGTGTACTGGAACAACACTAGCCTCACTAGATTTTAACAATGTGTAAATGTATATTAAACCAGATAATGTTGGCGGAACAAAGCAAGAACCCCGGCGTGCCGCGCCGCATCTCGCGCTGGTGGAAGCGTCACCTCGCAGACATCAAGCCCAGCTTCTGGCTGTTCGTGGTGCGCGACAACGGCAACCTCGAGATATACTCCCTGCCAGAGATGAGGCTCAGCTTCCTCGTCAGGGACGTCTGCGCAGGACACAGGGTGCGAAACACTTACACTATGTCTCTTTCCAGACTATCTTCTATATCTACGCCAAATTTCATCAAAATCCGTTTAGTAGTTTTGGAGATACATTGTAACAAACATACATACATCTAAACTTACATCTTACTATTATAATATTATAAATGCCAATGTTTGGATGTATGGATGGATTTTTGAAGTTATCTCCACAGCGGCTTTATGGATCTCACTGAAATTTGACATACATATAGAACATAGTCTGGAAGATCACATAAGCTATTTTTTAACTTTTTTATATTTTGCGTGGACGGAGTCGCGGGCGACAGCTAGTATTTATTATATTAATATGGTATTTAAGTTAACATACCTAAATTTATATTAGAAATAAGTAACTATTAAAAGGTGAATCTTTCCTTCAGTAATAAAAGGGGTCTATCACGAAAATTTGCTTATTCGTACTGTCATCGATAAAAATTGTTTTAGATTACAATAGATAAGCGTCAATAGCCTAATTGTTAAGGGTACGGATTTCCGATCACGAGGTCGGCGGTTCGATTCCATCATTCGACTATTGTCGTAAACCATATCCTAGCACAAACATTCAGCTTAGTTGGAATAGTAAAAGAAATATTAGTAAATTTACAAAAAAATGTGCAAATATTTTAGTATTAAAGAAAATGGTTACAAGTAAAATACGACGAGAAATTTAATAAACATGTCGATGACGTTATGAAAACATATCGAATTATTTTGTAATAGACCCTTAAAAGGCAGAGACACCAAGAGTTTGTTAATTTTTGTTTTGTTCAAGCTATCCTTAATTATATAGTCACAATTTTTTTTTAAAATAAAATATTAGCAAATTTTTTTGTAAATTTACTAATATTTCTTTAAGCATTCCAACTAAGCTCTAGGCTTGTGCTAGGATATGGTTTACGACAATAGTCGAATGACGGGATTCGAACCACCGACTTCGTGATCGGGAATCCGTACCCTTAACCATTAGACTATTGACGCTTAATATATTTAAAAATCGCAATATTGTTTATTTTTCCAGATATTAGCGGACAGTTTAGAATCAGTACCGATCGCAACAAGTAATGTGGAGGAGGACGAGTTCTCAGCGGGCAACAGGAATGCAGAAGTTGACAAGTTGAAGGAAATGCTGATTGTTGGTCTCGGACACAAAGCTACCAGAGTACTCTTGTTGTTACGTATGGAGGGGGAACCTCTCATGATATATCAGGTAATTACACTAAAACCTAGCCATAAAATGCCTATGTGTTCTTCCAGACTATGTTCTATGTCTATACGACAGGTCATTGAAATCCATCCAGCCATTCTGAATGTAACTTCTGATAAACATCCATCTATTCAAACTTTTGCGTTTATAATATTAATAACTAGATGTCGTCCGTGACTCCGTTTAGGTAGAATTAATAAAAACTATGTTCTTCTAGACTGTCATACATGCCAAATTTCATCAAGATCCATGCAGCCGTTCTGTAGATACCTTCAAATAAACATCCATCCAAATTTTCGCTATTATAATATTAGTAAGACCTCATTATATCTAGATAGATAAAATATACTATGATATACCTTTTTAAATCGTTAATACTGTGTTGGATCACAAACTCCACAGCGATTACCGCTATATTCCTGGTATATATTCAAAAAATATTAAAAATAACAATTTCTACAGCTTTCTTATCAAACTGATAATTAATTATCATAGTGTAATTATACAAAAATGTTTTCCAGGCATACAAATATCCACGTGGCAACTTAAAGATGCGTTTCTCACGTATGAGCGTCTCCTTCCCATTCGGATACGAGGGTGGTGCAGTACCGAGCCCCGAGGACAGCTACGAGGCTGCCATGCTGCGGGACAACGTCCGCCAGCTCCGGTACTTCGGTCAGCCACAAGCCCAGCAGCAGCAGCTACGGCTTTTTTCTACACTATTTCGTTTTTTTTGTATCATAATATTGCTAAAATAGCGAAGCGATTGCCCATAGACAATTACAATTGCGGAACGGAAGATGCATAGAAAGAGATTCAACAGTGGTAGAGCGAGCTTTAACATGTTCGCAGGAATAGTCCCGGCTCGCCCGGTGAAATACCACGACCATACAGAAGACAGGCTTCAAGTGGAAGCTATTCCAACTACAGTCTGATGAGAGGATGCATGGAAAGGGAAATATTTTCTTTCTGTCCATCCTCTCCTCCGTTGATTAAAGGTAGGCAACGCAACGGCAATTGCGTATGTCTATGGGCAACGGTCACTTCGCTATTTCAGCGATTTCAGGTGGCCGCTCGCTCGTTTGCCACATTATGATAGAAAAAAAAGATAATATTTTCCCTTCCCATGCATCTCATCCGGAAAATCCACTTTCATTTCCCATCCTTCATAAGAAAAAAGGGTAGGGAAAGAGGAGTAAAATTAGGTCACCGGTACCACACATTAGACTGTTGGAATTGATTCCACTTGATGCAAGATGTTAATGCTGACTCTACCATTGTTAAAAGTAAAGTGCTATCTGTTTGTAGGAAATGTGGGAGGTTACAACGGCGTGTTCCTGTGTGGGCGCACTCCATACTTCCTGCTGCTGACAGGGCGCGGTGAGCTGCGCCTACACCCCCTCGCCGCCTCTGAAGGCCCCGTGCCTACGTTCGCGCCTTTCAATAACACTAATTGTCCACATGGATTCTTGTATTTTAATTCTAAGGTATGTTATCTAATAATAATACATAATATTATGACCCGCAGAATTAAAAAAAAAGTTAACTAGTTTTTTTGTTATTCTAGACTATGTTCTATATGTATGTCAAACTTCATTAAAATCCGTTAAGCAGTTCTGGAGATATCTTCAAACAAACATCCATCCATTTAAACATTCGCATTTATAATATTAGTAAGAGTAGGTATCCCTGCTTAAAGGACCAACTACTTTTTTTAAATTTATATTTACAAAATGTGGGTTTCTAATTAATTTTGCGTTTTTATTGTAGTTTATCTCTTAGAATTACAACAAAAATAACAGTATTTTTTTATATCTTTGTTTTGTATGTATAATTGCAGAGTTCGTTACGTATCTGCCTGCTTGCCACTCACCTGTCGTACGACGCGCCGTGGGCAGTGCGCAAAGTGCCGCTGCGAGCCACGCCCCACGCCGTCACCTTCCACGCTGAGTCCCGCACCTACTGCCTCGTCTGCTCCACCTCCTCCCCACAGACATCCTACTACAAGTTCAATGGAGAGGATAAGGAGAAGTCTAATGAGAATAAAGGAGATAGGTATAGCTTTCTCTCCCTACTTTTCAGTATAACGCAAGGAGGCGTTGCCATTGAAAGCCACGCCCCTTGATCCATGTGGATCTTACGTGAAATATTTATTCTGAACTTGTGGTAGCCCACGACTCCATCTGCACGAAATTAAAAAAATATATATACCAAATTCCATCCATCCATCCATCCATGCGTATTTATAATATTAGTAAGATTGCAGATTAAAATCTATTTCTAGTTCTTTTTATAGATTCATTCTGCCGTTTTCTAGTTATATAGTAATTAATAAATCTATATTTTTGCAAATTTTACTTATATCTTATCTTCCAGATTCCCATATCCTATGCAGGAACGTTTCTCAGTGATGCTGTTCTCTCCAGTATCCTGGGAGGTGATACCTAACACCAAGATAGAGTTGGAAGACTGGGAACATGTCACCTGTCTCAAGAACGTGGCGTTATCATATGAGGGCACCAGGTGAGGTGCATTATGTCTACTAATATTCTAGTCCTAGTCACTTAAGCCATACAGATTGTAAGCTCAAAAGACTGTAAGACAAGAAAATAAAGATAAAAACAATACGCTACGGCCTACGTTACGACTTAGGGTCCTTCAAGAAGTGAGCTTATCACTATCTCAAAGGCCGGCAACGCATCTGCAGTTCCTCTGGTATTTCTGATGTCCATGGGCTTCGTTGAACACCTCGGTGTTTTTTTTATTTTTTTATATCATAAGGTGGCAAACGAGCGAGCTGTCACCTGAAATCGCTGATGTAGCGAAGTGACCGTTGCCCATAGATATACAATTGCATATGCGTTGTCTACCTTTGATCGACGGAGGAGAGGATGCACAGAAAGAAAATATTTTCCCTTTCCATGCATTCTCTCATCCGGAAAGTCCATTTCCACATCCCATCCCTTCCTTATAAGAAAAAGGGTGGGAAGGGAAAGAGGACTAATTTTGGCCTCCGGGACGCCTCGGTGTTCCCGCTGCACGTTTGACCACTTCTCTTATTAAAACAATAAATATATCTGATATTAAACATAAATTAATTATTTGAAATGTTAATGTTTAAAATGCAAGCTAAAGTCAAGAAAATTCGCGGTTTTTCATTTAACGTGGGTTTCTGAGGTCAAAATCCCCGTTTGTAACATACTAGCTATCGCCTATGAAACTCCGTCCGTGTAGAATAAAAAAAATATTAGCCAATGTGTTTTTCCAGATTATGTTCTATATGTATGTCAAATTTAATCGGAATCCATTTAGCCGATCTTGAAAAACCTCCATACAAAAATCCATCCATCTAAAAATCCGCATTTATAATATTAGTAAGTTTGTTATTTCTGTTTTGTCAAATGACAGAGATGATATGAGAATCCTTTGATTTGACACTCATTTTTTGTTTAATTTATTTCCAGATCAGGTCTGAGAGGTTATATAGCTATAGGAACTAATTACAATTACGGTGAAGACATCACATCTAGAGGCAGGGTAAGGAGGGAAAGTCTAGTAGTTTTGTATGTTTGTATGGATAAAACTTGAAAACTCAAAAACTACTTAACTGATTTTAAAATTTCAGTAATAAAAAGTAGTAACACCAAATTTTCATAGACAAGCAAATAAAAAAAATCCTGAAATAATAACTTTTCATTACTCCTAAAACTAACCAATTCAAATAAGAAAACATTTCTACAGATAACATAACTAATGTCCAAAAAAAAAAAAAATAAACAAATATTTTTCACAGATAATAATCTACGATATAATAGACGTGGTCCCGGAGCCAGGTCAGCCGCTCACTAAGAACAGATTCAAGGAGATATACGCCAAGGAGCAGAAAGGACCGGTCACTGCGCTCGCACAAGTTCTAGGATATCTTATATCTGCTGTCGGACAGAAGGTACCAGATTTACACATCAGTTCAGTTCTTTTTTTATATCAGAAGGCGGCAAACGAGCGAGCGGTCACCTGAAATCGCTGAAATAGCGAAGTGACCGTTGCCCATAGACATACGCAATTGCATATGCGCTGCCTACCTTTAATCGACGGAGGAGAGGATGCACAGAAAGAAAATATTCTCTCTTCCCACGTCGCATCCTTTCCTTATAAGAAAAGTGTGGGAAGGGAAAGAGGACTAAAATTTAGCCTCCAGGACGCAACTTTTAGTGCAAAATGTATTTTAGTGACCATTTTAAAAGTTAATTTTTCTAATTTAAGTAATATTAAAAAGCATAAAATAAATAATACATGTGCTACGCATATGCATATGTGAAATTCCGTATAAAATCTTAAATTTTTTAAGCAATAAATTCGATCTGACATTATTGAACGTCGAACGATCGATTTGACATTTTCTATTCGATATTTTTATTATTTATGTTTATATATACGACAAGGAAGTCAGACCCAATGGGCATAAATCAGATTAAATTATAACACACTAGCGCCCCTCTGACAGCGACAAAAGTGTCATATTCTGACAGAACTAACTCAGATATTCTCGTTTGATAACACATGTTGTGGGAACTGTGATTTAATTGACATTTTCCCCACAGATCTACATCTGGCAACTGAAAGATAACGATTTAGTGGGCGTGGCGTTCATAGACACGCAGATCTATGTGCACCGCCTCCTCGCTGTCAAGAATCTCATCCTGGTGGCAGATGTCTACAAGTCGGTGTCACTGCTGCGCTACCAGGACAAGCATCGCACGCTCTCTCTAGTCTCCAGGGACCTGAGAAGTGCCCAGGTACTGCCTGTAGACCCTGTAGTTGACTGTCAAGTAGACCGTGAATTTTTTTCCAAATTATTCCCTGTTGTAAACTGTGGTACATTGTCAAGCTGACTGTAAAAAAGACTGTAATAGACTGAATTTGTCCGGATAGTATACTGCAAAGCTTAAAGTAGGTTACTTTATGGTATATTGTGAAGTGTACCGTGAAGTATTGCGTAAAGTACACCGTGCAGTAGACTGTGAAGTTGACCGTACAGTATAACGTGTAGTGAAATTGGTATGTGATGCAGATCTACGAGATGCAGTTCATGGTGGACAACACGACGCTGGCGTTCCTGGTGAGCGAGGCGGACGGCAACCTCGCGCTCTTCATGTACCAGCCTCAAGCCAGGGAGAGCTACGGCGGTCAGTACACGTACTTACACCCCTGTTCCACTAGCGCGACTTACTGCATCACTGCTGTGTGCAATCCTGCCCAGTTGCTTTCTTTCATTCAGGGTTTAAATTAGTATTTAGATCCTGATTTATCAGTGGTAGACGACATTAGCTTGGCAAACAATTTGGTCTAACCGATGCAGTACCATGAACACACAGAAGACAGGCGTCAAGTGGAAGCTATTCCAACTACGGTCTGATGAGTGCTTGCCGGTTGAGATGCAGCAGACTTTCTTTAAAATATACAAATTTAAAAACACGTAATATAAAAACTACTTCAAATAAGACCATAGCCGCCCCCTGGTCTCCCAGATTATCAGCAGGCGACTCACATGGCTGCTTCTATGTATATCTTAGTGAGGGGACATAAACGTCGACATTTTAGTAAGGCTCGTGTTGCGCCAGTACACCGGCACAGTGTCGGATTTTCTTCCTAACAGTTTATATGTATGTTTGTTTGTAGGTCAGCGTCTAATCCGAAAGGGAGACTATCATTTAGGTCAGCAGGTGCACGCCATGTTCCGTATCGCCGCTCGCGTGCTGCCGGAGACAACGCACCGGAGACATGTTACTATGTTCAGTGAGTTACATCATCTGCGACTCTGTCTGCACTAAATTAAAAAGAAACTTAATCAGTAGTCTATGTGTTCTTCCAGACTATGTTCTATAAATATGTCAAATTTCAGCAAGATCCATGCACCCGTTTTGGAGATACATGCTGACAAACATCCATCCATCCATCGTATTATATTAGTAAAATTACACTGTATAAAAACATTTGTCTTCTGAGAAAAAAGCTTTCAAATCTCTATGTTAAAGGTAGTGACAATTTTTCAACTTGATTTTACCTATGTGATGTCAATATAGGGACAAATAGTTATCGTCGGTTTCTAAGACCAATATCTGTATAAAAAAGAGATTGATATGTTTTATATAGGAATTTTGGTATCAGAAATCAGAAGACACGCTTCAGAGTCAGTCTCTGCGTGCCGGAGTCCCAATTTAGTCCTCTTTCCTTTCCCACCGTTTTCTTAAAAGAAAAGGATGAGAAGGGGAAGAGAATTTTATTTGGGACGATGCATTCTTAAAAATGAAATGATTATTGACGTACAGCGCCATCTATCGCAATACTAAAGTAGTTTTGTATGTATCACAGCGACGCTAGATGGCGGGTTGGGATACGTGTTGCCTGTGTCGGAGAAGG